CTTACTGAGAGGAATTATGTGACATGTCCAAGATGGCAAAGCAAACTATTAGTGGCAAAGCCAAGATATAATAAGGAGGTGATAACAGCTTCTACCTCACAAGGTCCTAAGAAAAAACTTGGGTCTGCTCATTCTCAGTGATGGGTTCTTTGCACCATGTTGCTATTTCCACCTTAGTACCACCAAGGTCAAAGGCTCTTATCTGATGAAACATTAGAGTACTCATCTGTGAACACAAGTTATAAAACAACATAGGCCCTGATTTTATTTTTAAGGTGTGAGTATATCTATACATGGACTTCCCAGGTGGTGCTAGCGGGAAAGAATTTGCCTGCCAATCCAAGAGACCTAAGAGAGATGGGTTCGATCCCTGGACTGGGAAGATTTCTCGGAGGAAGGCATGACAACTCACTCCAGTATTCTTGCCTGGAGAATCCCATGGACAGAGGAGCCTGGCGGGCTACAGTCCATGGGGTCACAGAGTCAGAACGATTGAAATGATTTAGCATGCACTCATATCTATACACTTCCCGGGTGGCTCAGACGGTAGAGCGCCTGCCTACAATGTGGGAGACCCGGGTTCAATTCCTGGGTCAGGAAGATCTCCTGGAGAAGGAAATGGCAACCCACTCCAGTGTTCTTGCCTGGAAAATCCCATGGACGGAGAAGCCTGGTAGGCTACAGTCCATGGGGCCTCAAAGAGTCGGACACGACTGAGCAACTTCACTTAGCATATCTATACATATCTATACACAAGAGAGGCTGAAAGAACATACATCAAAATGTTAATAGTGATTATCTCTGAGTATGGATTATAGTTGATTTGTTGTTCTTTTGTCAGTTTTTTGCTAATTTTCAATGAAGAACAAATGTTATCTTTGCAATAAGAAAATAGCAGCTCTTCTTAAAAGGCTCCAAAAAGGAAAAATGAATTTTCAAATGCTTAAGTATTTATTATGAGAAAGAAGTTAGATAATGCAACCAGAATTCCGCAGTTTGTTTAGTCTATAGACCACCAAGCCCAAAGGCTGGGCTACCTCAACTGCACAGAGTTGCTCAATTGATAAAGGAACACAAAGAATTCTTTGCAGCCTATTCAGTTCTGTCTTCTCTTCCTTAACACAATACTCCTGATAAAGATAGGCTGTTTGGAATGATTCCAAAAGCACTCAGGGCAAGGCTCTTAAGTGTTCTCTTGGCATTTAGGCATGGTGATTAAATGCTTTCAAAGCAATAGACTAATTCCTCACTTTAATTCTGTAACCAGGAATGCAGGGCCAAACAGACTGACTTTATTATAATTAATCCTATCAACTACTTTCCCTTCAGTTCTCAGAGGTTAAAATAAAAATGCGAAATGGTGCGGAAATTACCAATGCTCTGTGCTTGTTTCCAGACACAAACTTTCTAACTCTAAGGAAGAATTATTCATTAGAGAGACAATAAACATTTTTACAGAACAGCTTTGGTTTACGAAGGTTGTTAATTAATGTCCAGTATTTTTGTTTAATATTTGGAGAATCTAATGTTCCTGAAAAAACATGGGGGAGATGCTTTTTCTTCACTAATTCCTTTTCTTCACTGATTCTTACTTTATAAAATGTAATTTTACACCAACTCCCCCCAATCATTTTCAGGATGGAAAATGCCAACGTTGACCCATTTTGATATCCCTGTTATTTACATGAGATGGTGCCTGAATAGTTCTCTCAAATGTCCTTTTTCAAGGTGTAGAGCTTTTACCGCAGTTATTTAATTTTTAAAAGATATCTGATCTTTCATCACTCTCCAATTCTTCCACATGAAAAAACAAAAACAAAAAACAAAACGAAACCCAAACACTTCCTCCGTGACAGGGTAAAAGCGGGAATAGCTCCTGATAACTACAGACAGGTTTTGAGGTTTTAACTCCAGAGAAGTGTTTTTTGCTACTATAATACAGAGAACATTTCTGCAATACAAAAAACTGCCTTCAAAAGAACTGAGATGGAACAAAAAGGAGGCTGATCATACGTATCATCTAGGACAGACTTTCTCAACGGGGTTCCAGGAGAGAATTAAACCCCATAGATAATGATCTGAGAGACAATTTTCTCACTAATAATACCTAGATAGGACATGATGTATAAGTGATAAGGTAACTCATTCTACAATAGATGTCTTAGAGCATATGACTTAATTCTTCCATTGAACTGGTCAAAAGGAATTATAAATCCGCTAGCCTCTACAACTAGATTTATGGTTATTGTTTCCTGAGAATTACCTGTTGTATTTCCTTCCTGCAGGTAAAGGTTAATGAGTTTCAAGGGCAGAGCTTGAGGAAAAGTATAACTACCAACCAGAAGTAATAATCTCTAAAACTGTACTTCTCTGCAAAATTCTGCACCTACCCTAGTTTCTCAACTTCTCCAATTAACGTCACTGTGAAGTGGCCGGTTTTGGTGACACTGCTTCAGATCTCTGGTTCTCAAATCTGTGTGCATCAGCACCAGCAGGAGGACTTATTTAACTAAAACAGAGTAGGCCCCACCCCCAGAGTTTCTGAATCAGTAGATCTGGGATGGGGGCACAGGATCTGTGTTTTTAATAAGTACCAAGTGATGTTGATGCCTTAAATAAACTTATATAACCACCCCCCTCCCCTTTCCTTATGCATTAGGAAGTGGTAAGGTGATCTTTTATTCCCAAATAAAAAATACCCTGGAAAGCAGATCAGGTTTCTACTTTGAGCCTTCACACGAACAAATGGTACTTTCTGTCACGGTGTGACTGCACTGCTTGTCCCACATGTCACTGTGGGACTCTCTTAATAAAATGAGAAAACCCTGCAAGCAAAACATTCTTTGAGTATCTTAAACTGTGTGTGCATGGCAGGGACTGCCTGTGTGCTCCGTCGCTCAGTCATGTCCAACTGCTTGTTACCCCGTGGACTGTAGCCCACCAGGCTTCTCTGTCCATGGGTTCTTCAGGCATGAATACTGGAGTGAGCTGCCATGTCCTTCTCCAGGGGATCTTCCCAACCAAAGGATCCAACCTGCATCTCCTGTGTCTACTGCATTGCACACAGATTCTTTACCACTCAGCCACCAGGGAAGCCCATGGCAGGGACTAGGAGGGAATTATTTTTCTGGACCCATCCATTGCTTACTTTTAAAACACATGAAAGCAATCTCTTTCTGGTTTGGAAGGGGCTTTGGAGAACAACCAGTATCCTTTTATTCATGTGAGACAGGTTCCTATCCCAAAACTTTTGCCCGTTTCCTTCCAAATTTCATCATTTTCTTCTTACGGTACTTTGAACTTCTTTGTGTGAACTAAGAAAGAAAGTGCCTCTGCTTGGCACCTCTTTTATTAGTTGTCATAATTCATTTTAGTGAGCATGTGTCTACTGCCATGTAGGGAACTAGGGACAAGAAGGGGCTGAAATAGAACCAGCGAGCTGAATCCTAGGATCGCTTGCCAGTGTCTATAGTAAATATCCAAAACCAAAAAATCTTGACATATTTCAGGGGAACAGAAAACAGTGGAAAAAGGTGACAGAATTGTTTGTATCATGCTTTTTAAGACCTTGGTCAATGTGCTAAATAAAGTAAATCACTTATCTTTTACATTCATAAGATACAAATTCATAATGAAGTCTATTTATATTTGTGTGAACTGTTAACCCAAAGAATCGATAACTTTAAAATAACAGTGAAATTAAAGTACAATATAGAGAAAAAGTGGGCTTCCCAGGTGGTTCAGTGATTAAAAAGAATCTCCCTGCCAATGCAGGAGATGCAGGAAACACAGGTTCAATTCCTGGGTTGGGAAGACCGCCTGAAGGAGAAAATGGCAACCTACTCTGGTAAATCCCACAGAGAGAGAAGCCTGGTGGGCTATAGCCCATGGGATTGCAGAGAGTCGGATATGACTTAGCAACTAAGCATGCGGTTACACAGAAAAAGTATTAGTGAATCAATGATAATCCTAATTATTTGCTTCATGATCTTAGTAAATCATATGCAGTTTAATTTTCAAATTGTTGAAGTGAAAATAGTACCATTAGATGAAAGGAATAGGACAGTTTTCTAGATCCTGGAAGTATGGATCTTGTAACATCCTATTAACCTCTAGTTTTAATTACACTCTTGTTTACCTATAAACCAAGTATTTTAGAATCTGTTTACCTTTTATTTTCTAGTCTTTTTATGTAAAATTCATCCTAACAGCAACTCCATTAAATCATAACCTAAAACATCTTTCTAGCTAGTCTCCCCTCCTGGCCCCCTCTAATGATGTACAGAACAAAGAACAGGTATACTAAGTGCACTTTCTGTACCACTTGATGAAAATAATGACAAACTAAATTTATCCTGACAAAATCTCAGTTTGAAATTTTCTCACAAATCTAAAAACTCATGGAACAAAGGAAAATGGAATCTAAAAATGTGCCTTTTAAAAAGCATTTTCCAGAAATCTCAAGTAAGTAATTTCTCAAACTAAAAAGTTAAGAAAACCTTAAGAACCCTAATTTAATATGCAGCTACTTAATAGAATAAACTATACAGAAACAGTTTTGAGTTCCTAATTCAAGTTTAAACAAAATTTACAATTCTTTTTCTGAGCAGTAAGTAACCTGGTTGCAGGAAAGTACCATTAAAAGTTAATGATTACTATGAAAATGAGGATTTCACAACAATCATTCTCCAGCTAGAATCTCTAAAAACATGGAAACACTCACTGGGCAAATATCTAAGAGCTGACACAATCTCATATATAATTCAAATGAAAATAGTTTTATAAATATATCAATATTGAACTCAGAGACTTACTATGTATTCTAATAGCTATTATGCATACAACATCTTTACAATGAACACATTAAAAAAGGTAAGCTTAGCCTGAATGCAGATTTTTGGAATAAGGTAAAAAACAACAACAAAAAAGATCACTCTTTAAACTTTAAAATATAGAGTTCTATTTCATTTTGTCATTTTTTAAGAGTTTGGGATAAAACAGATCTATATTTAGGACATATCTGACTTAGTTTCTCACTGAAATATTCTCTCTGAATCCTTACATAAATAATGAAGATGACTATATAGTGTGCATGTATTTCTCCTTGGCATTATTAAAACCACTTATGTATCCAAGAACTATGTTTCTTAATGACTTGACAAGTTCCTGTGACTATGTCAGTTCAACGGACTAAATATTAAACTGTTAAGATAACAAATATAAAGGGATATTAAAAATTTAAACACGCTCACTACTTTTTAAAAAAATGTTTCCCTTTCTACTCAGTCTGAGGAAAGTGTGAAGAAAAAGAGGAGAGAATTGGAAACCTCTAGGTATGCTCACAACCCTGGACACTCAGATTCTTAAAAACGATAAACTTTCTGCGTTCAGACACAACACAATTAGAGTCATCTCTTCATGTTGTTAAAGCAGTTTGAGTTAAAAGTAGGTACGAACTAAACAACATTTAGGGATGTCAAATATTGTAAAAGTCAACAAGATACTCATGATCTTTAGTTCAACGGATAAATTCAAATACTCACTCATATAACGGAAAGTCTCTTCAGCAAGTACTGGAGAGAGGGTGTCTGATGCATGTTGCTGCTGGTGTGGGGACTGAGTCCAATCTTGATTTTCATAAAGAAAGAGAGAGTCCACCCTGAGCTTATACTGGGGTAGTTGTTCTTCTAGCAGGCTCACAAGTTCAACTTCAGGGACATCTTCATTGGAGCAGACATCTGAGGAGAAGATTCCATGTAAATGAATCCAATATATTCCAATTTACTAGGCTACAGAGAAAAATCAGTGAAATTAGTTCTGTGAAAGTAAGACAATCAAGAAACATTAGTCAAGATCATGTCGCCAATGATTTTTATCACTGTATCCTGGAATTCCAGGTGGTCTTTCTCTAGGTTTCTTTAATATAAGAACTTTCACAATAGAAACAATACCGTGACTTTTAATTATACTCTATTTAAAATATATTGCTTAGGGAATATAACTACATCTTTAAGTTTAGATTTTCTTATTTCCTCCTTATCAATCTATTTAGTGCCGCTTAAAGGACATGTGATCTCAAACAACTCATACGCTTCAGGGAAAAAAGGCAACAAGACAACCAGCAGAAAATAGTGAGTTCAAAAGGAATAAAACGATATGTTCTTCATTAATAGAATTTGACCTCTGTGGAGGATTCTTCAAAATATGGAAAAGTTACATTTTACTATATCCTCCCAGAAGCTAGATATAAAAAAATCAATATTTATTGGTTAAATGTTAAACAGTAATGTTAACATTCCAGCACAGTGTCCTACATTGGTACTAGAATAAGTACGTAATCACTTTTACTTTAAAGATGTGATACATTTAAAGTCTTGAATATCTTTTACATCACTACTCTCACCTGCACACCTCTAACTGTCTCGGCATACACTTCTCTGAACACACTTAGGCTTCTCTATCTTTATGTGTTTGCTCCTGGCTTCTTATTCCAAATGCTGCTCATCATTTAACACCTTCCATATTTAGCAGTTTACAAAAAAAAGTTACCCTTTTTAATATGCTTAAAATACTAGGGCTTAAAATACAGAAAATACAGGATGTCATTTCAACCCTCTCCTTTTTTAAAGACATCAGGTATTTCCTTTGTGGGTGGCACAGAGAAACATGTTCTAACTCTGGCAAAGAACAACAAGTTTATTTTAAGAAAATGTACCTTAAAAAAGTAAATTTCAACTACTTGACTTTAATTCAAAAATGAGGAGGCTGACATTAATCAAATATGAGGGGGCTGACCATATTAGAAAATCCTATCCATATAGAAAGACAAGCAGTGGCTTCATAGCCAAAACATGAGGTACATAATCACAGATATAAGGTACATTTAAAACCTTAAATGTGGGTCTGAAGAAGCTCCTCTCAACCCTTAGCAGATCGCTTAAATAAGAACTCCAAAAATACATCCAAATAATATTACTATGAATTCTATGTGACTATTCAAATTTTTCCTGCCATGAATATATGACATACATATTATTATTGTTACAATATGTGCAGGAAGAGAAGTTGACTATCAATACATGCAGAGCTGAAAACAAACTCTGAGACACTCAAGGGTATAATGCAAATGATGAGCAAAATTAAAATCCATTAAAATAACTACTATTCCCTATAAATTTTCTTTTAATAAGCATAATGAAATTCTGTGAAAATTCATGATTACCAGTTGCCTACTTCCAAAATGAGTATACACTCAAGGTTTAGTAGATTCGAATAATATCCTTCAGACTAGCGCCTCCTATTTGCTTCTGTATTTCTGATAATGTACTATTTAGTGATTTTCTAATTGTCCAGTCCTAACATTTTTATCCTCCAAATGTTCTTTTCTTGCGTTCACTTCTTTCTAGCCACACTGCCTCATTTAGATTCAAGGTCTCCTCTTGTTTCTCTTGAATATGGCCTCAAAGTGATCTGTTCTCATTACATTCATATTTTCCTCCACATCTTCATCTTTCTTATGTTACTCTCCTATGCAAAGCTAAGAAAGGCTTGAATTTCATCTAGCCAGAGTGTAAAACCTAATGAACAGTGTTGTTGTTCAGTTGCTCAATCATGTCCAACTCTTTGCAACCCCATGGACTGCAGCATGCCAGGCTTCCCTGTCCTTCACCATCTCCCGGAGTTTGCTCAAAGTCATGTCCTTTGAGTTGATGATGCCATCCAACCATCTCATCCTCTGTCATCCCCTTCTCCCCCCACCTTCAGTCTTTCCAAGCATCAGGGTCTTTTCCAATGAGTCAGCTCTTCACAGCAGGTGGCCAAAGTATTGGCACTTCAGCATCAGTCTTCCAATGAATATTCAGGAATGATTTCCTTTAGGATGGACTGGTTTGATCTCCTTGCAGTCCAAGGAACTCTTCAGAGTCTTCTCCAACACCACAGTCCAAAAGCATCAATTCTTCAGTGCTCAGACTTCTTTATGGTCCAGCTCTCACATCCATACATGACTACTAGAAAAACCATAGCTTTGACTAGATAGACCTTTGTCAGCAAAGTAATTTCTCTGCTTTTTAAATATGCTGCCTATGTTTGCTATAGCTTTTCTTCCAAGGAGCAAGCATCTTTTAATTTCATGGCTGCAGTCACTGTCCACAGTGATTCTGGAGCCCAAGAAAATGAAAAGTTGAGACAATCAAAAGATCCTAGAAGGGTTGTGCTTGCTACTAGTAGAATTAAATTAATGCTAGAATAAAGCATAATGGAATATGGCCTTGTGATCTACAAACTCAGATAGCAAAGATTAAAAACAAGACTCAACAGAACTGATCTTATCAGCAAGAAATATAAGGACCTGCCAAAATAACAGTTTTCCAAATAAGACAACAAAATTCAAACATCAATGTAACATTCAAAATATTTGATAACAAGTTACTAGAAATGCAAAGAATAAGCAATTTGTAACCCATTACCAGTTGGAAAATAAATCAACAGAAACAAGCCCAATAATGACAAAAATGATAAAATTTGTACAGATAAATTTTTAGAAAGCCATTATAAATATGCTCAAAGATTTAAGAGGAAAACTTAAATTTGATGAAAAGAGAAACAAAAAGTATACTTATATTTCTAAAATTCAAATAGAACTAGAGTGAAAGAAAGTGAAGTCACTCAGTCATGGACTCTGCCACCCCATGTAGCCCACCAGGCCTCTCTGTCCATGGGATTCTCCAGGCAAGAATGCTGGAGTGGGTTGCCATTTCCTTCTCCAGGAGATCTTCCCAACCCAGGGATTGAACCCGGGTGTCTTGCATTGTAGGCACATGCTTTACGGTCTGGGCCACCAGGGAAGCCCCCAAGAACTAGAGTACAATATCTAAATTAAAAATTCACTGGATAACATTAACATATTAGACACGCTCCAGAAGAAAAGAAAAGTAGACTTGAAGGCACAGCAATGGTAACTATCTCAAATGAAAAAAGACTAGGGAAAAAACCCAGAGCACCAGTGACTTATGTAGACAAAGTTAATAAAACTAAGTTAAGCAAAGTTGCAGAATACAAAGTCAATATATAAATTTCATTTCTACATACTAGTAATAACACCTGGAAAATAAAATTGAATAAATGATGTTATTCATAGTAGCAGGAAAAAAAAACAACGTAGGATTAAATTTAATAAAGTATGTGCAAGACCTGTGTAACAAAAATTGCAAGTACTATTTAGAGAAATTAAAGAAGACCTACATAAATGGAGGATTAGATGACTTTAAGATGTCAATTCTCTATCAAGTGTGTATCATTCCATTCAAAATCCCATCACTCTTTTTTGGCTGAAACTGACAAACTGGTTTTAAAATTTATATAGAAATGTGAGAGGTCAAGAATGGTCAAAATAAGTTTTTAAAAAGAAGAGCAAAGTTGGAGAATGTATACTACCTGATTTCAAAATTTACTATAGATTTCTGTACAGGACCAATCCAAATTAATGCTTTTAAAATCCAGATTGTACTAACACTGTGTTGTCTTTTCAGTTGTTAATAACTTCTTAAATTCCAAAAAATAACAATTAGCATTGGGTCATTTGTATAAAAGTTTAAGTAAAAAGAAAGAAAAGAAACAAATTAAAGTAATAATAAAATGGTTTACTATAGAGTTATAGTAATCAAAACATCGTAGCATTTATGTAAAGATAGACTTAGGGATTAAAGAAACAGAATGGAGAGTTCAGAAACAGACCCACACGTATAAAAATCAAATGATTTTTCAATGAAGTTACCAAAGTAATTCAACAGCATAAAAGATAATGCTTTCAACAAATGGTGCAGGAACAATTAAATATTTAACTGGGGAAAAAATCTGTACCCTAACTTGATTATATATTCAAAATTAATTATAAAATGGACAGTTAACCTAAATGTAAAAGCAAAAGCTGTAAAACTCTTAAAGGTAAACTGAAGAGATATCTTTGTGATTCTGAACTATGCAAATATTTATTAGAAATGACACAAAAAAATACGAACTATAAAAGCAAAACTTGAGAAACTGGGCTCCACCAAAATTTTAAACTTTTGCTCTTCAAAGGACACCATTAAGTAGATGAAAAGGCAAATCACAGTCTGGAAGAAAATATTCGTAGCCCTTTACCCAACAAAGAATTTACATAGAATATATAAAGAACATTTATAATTCAATAGTAGGACAAATATAAAAATGAGCAAGTGATTTAAATAGAAAACTCCAAGTACCTAGAAAGAGCTGATAAGCACAAGAAGAGACTGGAAATCATTAGTCTTCAGGGAAAAAGAAACTGAAATCACACAGAGATACCAGATACACGCCCACTAGAATGGTTAAAACAAAAACACTGATGTTACCACATATTATGTTGTTGTGAAGAGGTCAGGAAACTATGGCCCAGAGGCCAACTCTAGCCTACTGCCTCTGCTTGGCTTTATAAATTAAGTTTTATTGAAACAATTATATATGTTCCTTTATGTATCATCTATGATATCTTTACTGCTATAACAGCAGAGTTGAGTAGTTGTAACTTGGCAATAAAAACAAATGAACTGCTGACACATACGACAATGTTGATAAATCTCAAAAGCACTTTGCTGCATAAAAAATCCAGACACAAAAGACAGATTAATTTATATGACTTTCCAAAACAAGCAAATTTTTTCTGTTACCATAGTAACAAAATGCACATTGCCTGGAGTTAGCAGTTGAGGGCTGGAGAGATCTGGATATGAGGGAACTTCGGGGGGATAATAAAAATATCTTACAACTTGATTGTACTGGTGGTTACATGAGTATACATATTTGTCAAAACCAAACTCTACACTTAAAATGGGTGCATCTTAATACACACATCTCAGTACTGGTGAATAAATAACAGGAAAAAAACTCTACAGATTTAGATGCGTTTCAGAATTTTATGGAGTTTTAGAAAAGCAGTCCTGTGCATTTACTGTATGTTATATAACACCTCCAACTGGTTTTGTAGCAGTATCCCATATTTAAACACATTAATACATTTTTCAGCAAACAAACATTCAAAGTGGGATAAATCTAGAAATAACTGGACATGTCAGGTTTTGTGGACCAATGAGTTTTAGAACCAAAGTTTAGGGAAAAAATTGGGTATACAGAGGTTTTAAAATTTAGTCTTGCAGATAAGGACTTACAGGGTTGTACCTGTTTTGCAAACTTATATGTCCTGAGACCCTTATGTGCCAGATACTGTTAAGTGACTGCAGGGTATAGGGAGCAACTCTGTCTTTTCGGAGATAGGAAGATGGGAATAGGAAGATAAGACAAGGAAGATGAGTATGACGCAGTTTCTACTGATCCGGGCTCACAGATATAGGGAGTCAGACATAGACAAGGATCAACACCCAAGGCAGATTTTGATAATGCAGTAAGAGGGATTCCAAACCTCTGGGATCTAATGCCTGAAGATCTGAGGAAGAGCTGATATAATATTCATAGAAATAAAGTGCACAATAAAGGTTACATGCTTGAATCATCCAGAAACCACCCCCTACACCTGCCCCAATCCGTGGAAAAACTGTCTTCCATGAAACCAGTTGTGGACCAAAAAGGCTGGGGACCATTGTGATAGGAGACCTGAGGACGGAGAGATTAATTCAGAGGTCTCTCAGAAGATGAGGCTGGAGAGAGAGGCTGAGTTTCATCATGGTAGGTCTTAAATGCATTTTGTCCTGTAGGCAAGAGCACTTCATTTATTAAAATGGACTCACCAGTGATGCTCTCTGAGTCTCTGTGATTGATATTCATGAGGTTTTCTTCACCCATTGGTGCTGTAAAAGTGGCATCCTGGGATTGACTCATGCAAGATCCTTTTTTGTTTTGGTTGAGAAGGATAGCTTTGGTTTGAATCAGAGTAAAGGAAATCCATCAAGCCATTGAATAAAGAAAGGTTCTGGTCAAAGGGATATTTACTTTTAAACAGATTTTTGTTTGATGAGACAAATGACATCAGGAGCGGAGTGCTCTCATGTGATTATCACACCTTGGATGGTCATGACCTAAAACATAGAACACATCAACAAGTGACTTTAGAATTCAGCATGCTTGTTAATAACAGCAATTCAATTACCTGGAATATATGTCATTAAGAATGTTTTCCTAATGATACACACACCACGTGGATAAATCTCAAAATAATTATGCTGGATGAAAGACACCAGACAAAAAGGTACATAATTTGTGATTCCATTTATATAACATCAAAAAAAATGTAAACTTACCTACAGTGACAGAAAGCAGATCACTGGTTGCCTGGGGCTGGGGAGGGATTACCAAGGGACTGGAGAAAAGTTTAGAGGATGATAAATACGTTCATTATTTTGATGGTGATAGTTTCACAAGTATATACATGTCAAAACTTATCAAATTGTATATTTGAAATATGTGCAATCTAATGCAAATTATAGGGCTTCCCAGGTGGCGCCAGTGGTAAAGAATCTGCCTGCCAATGCAGGAGACACCAGAGACATGGGTTCAATCCCTGGGTTGGCAAGATCCCCTGGAAAAGGAAATGGCAACCCACTCCAGTATTCTTGCCTGGAGAATGCCATGGACAGAGGGGCCTGGTGGGTTACAGTCCACGGGGTCACAAAAGTCAGACCTGACTGAGCACGCATACACACAGAATGTATTAAAATTCATTAAAGCTGTTTAAAAAATGTAATCTACTATTTAAAGTAAAATAATAATAATATACGGTGGGGTCTATAACATATATAGAAGTAAAATGTATTAAAACAATAGCACAAAGGCCAGGAAGAGAAAAATGGAAATTTATTATAGCAAGGTGTTTATACCATATAGGAAACAGTAAAATACTACTCAAAGTTTAACTCCAAAAATGTATACTATAAACTCTAAAGCAAACAATAACTCAAGAATTACAGATAATAAATCAAAAAAGAAGAAGAAATGGAATAATATTAAGCAGAGTTTCTCAACCCTGGTGCTACTGCTATTTAGGGCTGGATAATACTTCACTGCGTGCGCTGTAGGATGTTCAGCAGTGTGCATTGTAAGATGTTTAGCTGCATGCCAGGAGAATCCTCTTCCCAGACCTGTTCCCAGTTTTAACAGCCCCCCCAATTCCAGACAGTATCAAATATCCCCAGGGCACAGGGGTAAATTGCTCCCAGTTGAAAATTACTGATATAAAAGATGCTCAACCTTACTTATAATTAAAATAAATCAAAATGTAAAGAAAATATTTTTCATGCATTAGATCAACAAGCATTGTGTTTGTTGTTGGAGGGGATATGGAGAAAGTGGTACTCATAATGTTGATAAAAGTGCAAACTGATACAAGTTTTCAGAAAGGTTATTTAGCAATGCCTACTACACTTTTCAATGCATATACACCATAATTTAACAATTTTACCATTAAGAATTTATACGATGGATATACTCAGAGTATGCTAAGATGTAGGCGTAACGATGCTCATATAGCATTTTCTTTAGAAAAAAATACGCACACAACTGGAATCAAAACATTCATAAAGAAACAGTTTACAGAGGAACACAAAACAATCTAATGCATTAAATACATGTGTGTACTTTAAAAAAACTCAATTGTTGCCAATTAAAAAACTGTTTAATATTAATTATAAGCCTAGCTTTATATCAAAAGACAGTCTCTACTAAATAGTGTCTACTTAGCAACGTGCAGCTTCTATTTATGGCTAAATCGTTCTCATACCTACTATTCAAGGCATCATAAACACTGTGTTTTTTTTTAACAAGAGTCACAACCAAGAAATAGAGAAGACCAAAATAAAAGCAGTAGAGGAGACTGATAATGGTCGCTGAGGTGCCACAGACACAGAATCCCAGCAAATACTAGGAAAGACGATTTCAAAGATGGAATGGGCAAAAGAATTAAACATACAGAAATGTCAAAAAAGGTATCTGGTTTTTAAAAGGGGGTATACAGAGACCATAAAATCAACAGTAACAATCTAGAAAGCAGTCCAACCAAGAGGTTAGGCCCAAAGCCAGGCTGTAAGTAATCAAGAAGAAGGTGGTAGGAATGGAGAATAGTGAGCATGCACCAAGGTCTGTAATATCCAGGGTTTCAGATTATCATGGACAAGTAAAATTTAAAAAAAACTTCTGTGGTTATTGGCATAGGGTTACTGTTTTTCTACTTCATAAATGGAAAAAAATGTATAAGAAAAAAAATATAATAAACAACAGCATTTACCAGAAAAGTTTATAATTTTATGTTGGTATAAGAAAAAATTTCCTATACTTGAATTCAGAAAACTTTAATAAATTTTTAAAATTCCATCTTATATAAACAATTATTTTCTTGAAACATGTTAGTCAATATAGTAATCTGTACAAGCCAGTACAACATGAAGTAAAGCTGAAAGTATTTATTAGGTACTTTAATTTTAATTCCAGTTGTCAAAAACTCATTTTCTATCCAAGCGCAGTCTATTGCACGCAATTAAATTATCCCCCATGTGCTATCTTACTGTCCAAGCTGTCATTTCCAAATTAACCACTGCAAGGGCAATGGAACTAAAATGGGATCAAACCAATTAAGATTTGCCTACACCCACCCCCTGAAGTTGAAGGGAGGAAGAAAGCACCTTCCCTGAAGAACTCGACCACCAGGAACCTGAACACAATCTCAACTAAGAGTTCTGTCCACAAAGAATCGACAACCGTTGAGCTGGCAACCGAGAATCACATGTTATATAAGTCCTTACGGCACATGTAATTTTTATCAAGTTCTTTCAAATTACAATACTCCAGAGATCTGAATTTATAGATTATGAATCCGGTGCTATATTTGAGAAAAATAGAATGGTAATGCAAATATAAGCATAAACATGCTACTGTCTAATAGGTCATCTAGTTCAGAGTCAGCAATGTACTGACTGAATTTGACCTGCCACCTGTTCCCTGTAATCTGTGAGCTAAGAACAGGTTTCACATTTTTAAACGGTTGGGGGAAAGAAAAAGTCAAAGTTAAAATGTTTCATGATGTGTGACAAATATGTGAAATTCAAATTTCAGTTTCTATGAGTGAAGTTTTTACTGGAGCAGCCACGCTCCCTTGTTTATGTGTCATCAACTGGTTGCTTTCATGCGATGATGGCAGAGCTTAGTAACTGTGATGAAAACCTTATAGTCAGCCAAAGCCTAAAATATTTACTATCTGACTTTTTACAGAAAAAGGTTTTGGACTCCTGATCTAGTAGTAAAATAATTCAGACATCAAATAACCATCTGTATACATCAACAGTTTCCTAGTTCAACTTCTGAAATAGGGAACCACCTACATTTAGGTATACTTATAATTAGATCACTATCTCTAAAGAATTTCAGTTAGGAATAGACTTCTATTTTCTATACCTACTAGTATACTTAAAAATTATTTTCAAGTTCTAAGAAAATATTTTTTAAAACTCATAAGCTACAAATTGCTTGTGAAGAAGTGGAGAGGGAAGGGAAGGTGAAAGAAGGAAGAGAGAGAAAGAAGACAGGCAGGAGGAGAAGGAGGATGGAAAGGAATAAAAGCAAATGCCTCTCCTATGGTCCAAATGGGTTCTTAAACAAAATTGTGGTCCTTAACCATACTGTAATCAAATACCATTGTGGAAATCTAATGATAACTTCGGGATCTTCTGCTTGCTACTCTGTTACACACTGGCTGGTTTAACCTCATATTTTCATTATGATTCCCATTTTTTGTTTTTTATATTTACTATGGCACACAGGAACACAAAAAAGTGTACGTGTGTGTTCACTACAGGTGCTAGATCTTCAGTCTAGAGAATTGCTTTTAAATTAGTTTTAGAGGTTGTGTTAATGATTTGGTCTTAACTGTTATACACAAGAATAGAGAAAACCCAGGTGAACACAGAACTAAGTCCATCTCCAGTCATGCAGGAAGAATCTAGGTCTCCAGGGCAGTTCAGAAACCTGACCAACCTACACAATGTGCATCAGGTCAGGGGTGATCTAGAAGTGGTATGTTCTTCCTGATGACTCTTTAAAACTAAGGAAACCCTTTGGACATGCCCTGGCCCAGATCTGAACTCCTCCCTAGGATTAGTTTAGAGTAGCAATTCTGACATATAGGACATATATATATATATATATATATATAGCAATATAGGACAATGTATACACCTTGGCATTAGACAAGCCTGAATTTTATCTTATTTACTGGTTTTCTGATTCTGAGCACATTACTTCCCAGTTCATAACTGTCGAGGCAGAAGTAATAATCAATTATTCTTTATAGGGAGGGTCAAGTATGATGAGCACCAAAATGAATAACAGAAATGCCTAACTTGGTAACAGACAGAGAGTGGGCACTGAAATGTGACACTCATCCCTCCAGCTATCCCCTTTAAGCTGCGCCTGAAGGAAAATGATGTCTTCTTAATATTTCTAAGGTTTCTGACCCAATAGTCAACTCTGAATGGCTACTTTGTTTAAGTATGTATTAGATGTAAAGATTACCTCTGAAAAATCTTCATTTAGAAAGAGAGAAAGATTAAGCAATAAAGCAATAAGTGCCATAAAGCAGGACCACTGAAGGAGATTATTACTGAAGCTGATTCCTTCATGGATTCTGGGGAAGGGCTGCGGACCATAAAAACCTGTAACTAGCATAGTAGCTTCATTAGCTTCCTATTGCTGTTCCAATGAATCACCACAAATTTCAGTGGCTTAAAACAACACCAATTTATTATCTTACAGTTTTGGACCTCAAGGAATGAAAAACTTTCAGTGGATTGAAACCAAAAACCAAGGTATTGGCAGAGCTGGCTTCCTCTTTCGGCTCTAGGGGGAAATCCCTCTCCCTGTCTTGTCCAGCTTCTACAGCTGCAGTCCTTGGCTCGGGGCCCCTTCTTCCATCTTCAAAGCCAGCATCTCCGGATCTCTCTCTCTCTGCTTCCCCTGTCACATCACCTTCTGCTATCTCCCTCTTATGGACACCCATACTTTTATTTAAGGCCCAACTGGATTAGCCAAAATA